AATTGCCAGGGTTTTCCGGATATGGCAGACAAGTGTTCATATAATAAGTTGCATCATTCAGCGTTATTTACAAGTCACAGTAAACTTGGGTTCCAAAAAACTAATTTCCAAATTTATCATTTTCGATTAAATAAATAGGATATTTTAGATAGGAAGTATATTTAAATTTGAAATATTATGAGAAAAAAAACATCCAGAAAATAAACAAATAAATAAAAATTATGTATTTAGTTATCAGACTAATGTACTAAACGGATTAATTATAACAAAATATTAAACATATATAAACTATAAACTAGTTTATAACCTGTGATAACCATGGTTATAAAATTAATTAAACTTTCGTATTAAAAAATCAAAATCATTAATAAGATATTTTAAATAAATTATTACTTCAAAGCTATTTTTTTAGTTATATAAAATTATAATCATTGATTTAAATAAATACGTGGAGTTATATCATTTTATAATTTATATTAATTTTATTTTAGTTTTTAATCTAATGTTATTAATTTAATATAATTAAAGGAAGAAAATTTAAATTTTGAAATTTAAAATGAAGAATCAATTATTAATTTAATAAAATTAGAGTGAGAAATTTAAAATTTGAAATTTGAAATGAATAATTAATAAGTTGACAAGTGGCATGATAAATGATATATAGCATTAATGAGGGGTTCTAATTGCATGACACTTGTCAATATGAGATTAAACCTATTCTTTTATTAGAATAGCGAGATTTATTTGAAACTGAAATTGAAATTTCAAAATTGAAATTAATAGTCATTATAATAGGTTTAATTTATGAAAACTAAATCAATAATATATTGAAAATCCACCTTCTACCTTTTTTAATAAACAAAACCATTTTTTGGCACATCAATTTTTCAAAAGCCATATTGTCATGTGTCATTTTTCTATTTTCTTATTATTCAACTTAAACCAAAAAAATCCGTTTCAAAATTTATTTTTGTAACTATATTTGCATAAAATCAACAACTTTAGAATTGTAGCATATAGATAAGTTGGTTGCCTATTCTCTTGATAATACAAATCCCTAAAAATCAGTAATAAACCAAGAATGAAATCATGCAAATATAAGATCAAAGGACTTTCCGAATTTTGGATGAGATTTCAAAAGTGGGTATTTTAGAGTCAAAAGGGGTTTATTTTTATTTTTTATCGGTGCCTTATAAGTTTAAAATAGGTGGGCTTTAGTTATATGTAATAACATAGAATAATTTATGTTTGATAAAAGAAAAAGAAATTTTAATTTATGTAAGTGTTTAAAAATTAGTCTAATGTGTATGAAGTGCCCTCAAACTTTGAAAATGTATTATTAATTCTAAATTTGTTTTAGTTGTCATCCCGTGTGTTACACGGGTTATAACCTAGTGAAAAATAAATATATGTCAAAATTATGATAAAATGACATGTAGTCAATTAAACGAAAGAAAAACATATGGCAAATTCATTTTTATTTATTAGATTAGAATATTGTAATTGTTATAAAGGTGATTTAAATGGAGGTTGGTCTAGATTTTATTTTACTAAATGTTAGATTTATTTTGTAAGTATTTATACTAAAGCATAAGTGCATGTTATTCAATGGTATAGTCCTAGTAATGATAATTTTAAGTAAAATTATAACTTCTCACATTTCATTTCAATTTTTTTAATCAAAGGCAATATAGACATAATTTTGTTAAATTTATTTTATCATAAAACTAATGGGAAAATAACTTATTAAGGTAACTAATTATTTCAATTGTCTATATATAGGTAATGTTCTTTTTTTTGTACACATTAAGGTAACTAACTTGTTTTGTTTGTTCACATTTAGGTAATATGACCGACTATCACTTGTTTTTGCTTATGTGGCATCCATCTGGCATATGACTTGAATACGTTGCACCTACGTGGCATGGTGCATATATGGGAAAATGACTTATTAAGGTAACTAACTATTTCAGTTGTCCGTATATAGGTAATGTTCTTTTTTTTTACACATTAAGGTAACTAACTTCATCTGTTTGTTCACATTTAGGTAATATGACAGACTATCACCTGTTTTTGCTTATGTGACATCCACCTAGCATGTTATTTGAATACGTTGCACCTACGTGGCATCCACCTGGCATATGACTTGTTTTGTTTCTTCTTCCTCATCTTATTCTTCAAAATAACAAGATGAATTTCAAGCTGATCATCCATGTGATTGCGGCTTACCATCACGTGTGAAGATTTCAAGAACTCCTGACAACCACGGAAGAAAATTTAGAGTTTGTCAAAACTCGATGGTAAATCAATATTGTTGAATATGTTGCAAGAGTTCTTGAAATCTTCACACGAGATGGTAAACCGCAATCACATAGATCATCAGCTTGAAATTCATCTTGTCATTTTGAAGAATAAGATGAGGAAGAAGAAGTCATCGTCGATCGATCTAGGGTTTAGAATTGGGGGTGGAATCGTATGACACAGTTATAGTGTAATCGAATGAAGACAATATATGCACCATGCCACGTAGGTGCAACGTATTCAAGTCATATGCCAGGTGGATGCCACATAAGCAAAAACATGTGATAGCCAGTCATATTACCTAAATGTGCACAAACAAAACAAGTTAGTTACCTTAATGTGTACAACAAAAAGAACATTACCTATATATGGACAACTGAAATAGTTAGTTACCTTAAGTCATTTTCCCAAAACTAATTGGCATCGATGTGATTCTCAAATGAATCTTTTCCTAAATCAAAATGTGAAATGATAAAAGCATGTTTCGAAAACCAAATTGAATATTGAATTGGTCATATTACTAGTTTGATGGTTCAACTGGTCAGACCGATCCTGATAACCAGATGGTTGACATAACTATAATTGTATGCATACACGATCCACCATTTGGTACATGCTCTCTTTTGTCCAAACGAATATTACCACTATGATAGAGACCTGCATAAAATGATCGAGTTAAAAACTTATAACATCCCGTGGAGTTTGAACAAAAGAAGTCAACATGTGCGTGCCTAAAACACAAAATAGAGAAAACGTTAGATATAAAACGAATTTATGTGGAAAAAATTAAAAACTATGAAAAATTATGTTGCCAAACATTCAATCTTATAAAAAGAATTCGCAAAAATTAATGAAAATTCAAGAAAAACCCGTAAAACTTAATCGGAAACAGATGTTATGTTCAATGAATTCCAATAAATACAGATATATGAGAATATTGCAAGACATTCGCAAGTAATATATTTGTTCAATAGACTATCTCATGAAAACAATGTTGAATTAGAGAATGAATTGTTACATTAAGAAATAAAACAAACCGACTCCTCGCAAGCATCTTGTTATTTGCTAGATAATAAAGCAACAATGCATCTAATAGAAAAAATAAATAAATTATAAGATATTCTCAACATGATCTCGTCAAAGCAAAATCAGGCATGTCTAGTAAGAAGATTCTAAGTTGTTTTGGCTAATCTTGAAAAGTGCATATCCTCTAGTTCAACATTGCTTAATCACTCTCTGACTACAAATTATGGATTAATCCTTAATGTTGTTTGTTGTTTTTCATTTGAAGCATTATAAATTTATCATTTTTGCCCTTTTCATTCGGAATCATTATAAATTACATGTTTGTCTTCTGCAACGTTTCACGTAGAAGGTAGAGTAGGGGTGAGCATTTGGACCAAATCAGACCAGACCGACTCTTGGATCGGACCGGTTATGGTGAATGTTGTGGACCGTGGACCGGACCGGATGAGTCGTGTCTATGTCCGTGTCCGTGTTCGGGTCCGAGTCCAGGTCCGGATTTTTCAGTTCTTCGACCCGTTTGGACTGGTACAACTTTAATTGCATAGCGTACAAGTCGTTAAAATAATTTTTTGGGTTTGATAGAACTCACTAAAACAAGTATGTTATTGTGTTTAATACGATACAACTTGTCAAAATGATTACGTTTCCGTTTCATGCGTAACTAATCTACCTTGATGTTAAAATATATTATAACTTGCAAAATTAATTTTCCAAATAAAAACAACTAACATATAAACCAAGTTCACCAAAATCCTTTTCATGTGATTTATCTGTCAAAGATAAATAAAATTTCAGAATTATAGTCTAAAATAATAGTTAAAAAATTGAAATATTTCAGCTTTGATAACTCAATTTTGAAGGATTGTAACTCACTAAATATAATACCAAAATCAACAAAAATGTAGTGTAAATTCCTCTACAAAATGTAAACTAAATGTTGGAAAAAACCGCAGGTCAATCCGACTTAAAACGAATGGGTTATGGTTTAAAAAATTTCACACATTATAAAATTTTAAAAATGTTGATGAAAATTTGAAAATTTTCAGCTTTGATTGCCCAACTTTGAAAGATTATAACTCATTGAATATAATACAAAAATCAACAAAATTATAGTCGAAATTCATCTACAAACTGTAAATTAAACGTTGGAGAAAACCGTGTGTCAATCCAACTTAAAACAAATGAGTTGTTATTCAAAAATTTTCAAAGATTACAAAATTTTAAAAATGTTGCTGAAGAACTGAAAATTTTCAGCTTTGATAGCTCAACTTTAAAAAACTGTAACTCATCAAATAAAATACCAAAATCAACAAAATTATAATCTAAATTCATCTAAAAACTGTAAATTAAACGTTGAAAAAAAAAACGGATGTCAATTTGATTGAAAACAAATGAGTTATAGTTGTTTAAAAATTTTCACAAATTACAAAAAAAAAAATTAAAATCAAATCAAACAGATTCTAAACCCAATAAAAACCGGACCGGACCGGTTTTGATGGATTCCTAGAATCGAAAACCAGCCCGGGGGTCCAAAAAAACAGTCCGATCCGGTTCGGTCCACCGGTCCAAATGCTCAACCCTAATAGAGTAAGAGCAGCAACAATTGGTATGAATCAAAAAAACGACTTACTAATGTGTTATTATATGTAAACACATTTGAATTGAGATGAAATGGCCAAACATCACATTGCATATATCATACAATTACGTAATAAGGTAGAATTTCCAAACCCTTAAATAGACCAAGTACATTATATGGTTAATCAATACATTGCAAACAAGCAAAAGATTACTACTCCATTGGGATGTATAACACACTTAAAAAGGTTTTTTAGACTACAATAGGTGTTGCAGTTTAACTTGTTGCAGGATCTAAAGAAACCCACTCGATAGACATACATAGATGAAACTCTAGTTATTGTTTCCAATAATTAGCAAATATCATGTATTCTTCCAGGTTTTGAAAGACAAACATTATCCAACCTGTAAGCCACACATTTCAAATGCAGAAGGAGCAATAACCAACTGTGGGATGCAAATGTATACTCTAGACCCAAAAAACAAAACTGGTTTGGTTTATATAATATGCTAGTAATCATCATGAAACAAAGCAAAACAAAACAAAGTCAACATATATCTAAAAACACACTTTGTAGAAAAATCTACACCATCACCAACAATAATTGATGGTCAAGGGTCCCAGCATTTCCCCTCACTTGAAGCATTTGGCATCCAAAAGTGCTTCACCCTCAAAAGGCTCAAAATCTTCAATCATCTGATTCACACGCTCCTTTTGTGCCTCATCAGAAAGGTCAACCTTGGTCCACTCATAAAGCTCCATGTCATAACACTCATCCATCACAAATTTTGGGATTTCAGTCCCACGGAAAAGCCACAAACCCTTGACCTTGAATGGAGGCTCGTTTCCAATAATCAACATCTTTCCAAACGCGTATTTCCTTGCAAGATCCATACGCTGAAGGAATCCACCAACCTTATTCATGGTCACAAATGAGACAGTGTTCTCATCATTGTACTTGTAGTTGCAAAACCAAAGAGAGTATCCCTCTGGATCATACATGTCCCAAAAACCTTCAACAAAATCAATAAATATATAATATATCAGCCAAGTGTTAGTTTGAAAAGACTGATCTTTTAGGAAAAAATAAAAAAATAAAAAATGAAAATACCTTTGATTGCAACCTCACGGAAGTTAGTTTTGGTGTTTGAGTAAAGCCTCTTCCAGTCATCCAAAACCATAGGACTCGGAGGCAATAAATCAAGAGGATTCTTTGCCTTAGGCTTTGGTGCCTCTTCCTCCTCTGGGGCAACTTCAGGCTTGGGTTTAGGGGCTTCTTCTTTCTTGACTTCCTTTTTAGGCTCGGGTTTTGGTTTATCCTCTGGTTTCTTGGCTGAAGGAAGAGGAATAACAGCTTCGGTTTGTACAACTTCTCCGATTATTTTACTGAATTTTGGTTGATTAACCATGGTCCAGAAATACCTCTCAACATGAGGAAACTCAGCTGTGAAACTCTTTGTGAGCAAAAATTTAAAACCCATCACAAGGTTGCATGTCAAGATGATGTCAGCCAAAGTAACACCTTCACCAACCAAGAAAGTATGTGAAGCAAGATATGTGTTTAGAGCACCAAGACCTCTCTTGGTAGCAGCAATATAACTCTCCTCAACCTTCAAAACATGCACACAAGATTGTCATTTAAAGCATTTCACAAAAACCCATGGAAAAGAAACATTAAAAGTTCAAAATAACATTATGAAAAGAGCAGGAGTGACTAACAGGTTTGATGTAGGTGGCATATCCAAACCTTGGTATGGCCCAACCCCTCATACTTGCATCAAGCTCCAAGGTTGCAAAGTCGATCCACTGCTCAATTTGGCCCTGTATAAAATATTTTCAAAAGATAGGTAAGCTTTCTAATAAGTATAATTATTCCTTAATAATCATTAAAGAGCACATAAAAGTTACATATTCTATTGGTGAAGAACCAAAAAGGGAATTTCCAGGTTTCAAACGAGCAACTGCAGCATAAAACATAACAAAGTAAGCTCATTACTCAAAAGTCAAAACCAAAACAAGATTAGAAACAATGGCTATTTGGAGCCTCACCATAGCGAGCAATAGCATTACTCTCAAATATTCCACCCTCAGGAGTCTCAAGAACAGGGACCTGCATCAATGATGAAGCATACAGTATAAAACATTATATAAAATTTTGCTTTTCGTAGAACGTTTTAATTGGATTATAAATAAAGAGGAAAATACCTTTCCAATAGGGTTCATTTTAAGAAATTCAGGAGTCTTATTAGACACACCCATCTGAAAGTTTTCATCCATTTTAATCTCAACACCAACATATTCTGCCACAATTAATGACTTGTAAACATTCTTGTTGTTTGCCCCAGCATGCATAATCTGCAACAAGCAGAATACATCATATGATTAGCAAATAACTGACACAAGAATGTAAATACCAAATGATCACAAACCAGCAGACACTAAAACGTCAATTTATATGAATCAGAAGCCAATATATCTACCAAAAAAATAGCATACAAGTAAAGGCAACAATAATAGAAGTTTCAGCTATTGATTTTGTTGTATAAAATACTTATGAGCTTCAGGATGTTGAAAAGGCTGCATGAGAAAACATAAGACTCAAAAGTAAATAACATTAACAATGATATTCCGTTTAGAGCAAAAAGCATGATTAACATTTCCCGAGGCCTACTAAACCGCTGAATCCTTATCTCCCTATCAGATAATTGGATGTCAATGTCTTATAAATTTGGTCTCATCGAGAATATAAACAAATAGGATATTGAATATATGATTAATATCTGTCATTTCCAGTTGATTATGAAACAAAATCACCCACATGGACTAGCAAAATTAGTGCACAGACCAAGCATGATCGATTGATTACACAAACAACATGAATATTGAAACAAAGCGATCTACGAAAAAATGCATATCCGAAGCCTCATCCGCACAAGTTGTATACAAAACAACAGAGATCCATCACAAACTCAGCACATAAAAACATCAACTAATCAAAACTAACACAAAAACGAACAAAAAACTCACCAGCGCCATTGCTTAAGGAACAAACGATCGCCTTCTGATGCCGATCTACAGTAACAAAGAAAATTCAACAGTATATCAGGGTGTAAAGAAGAGTAAGGCGACTAAATGAGACTATAAGTATATATGGTGAACAATTGAGCAGAAAAAGGATACCTGGTACGAGCGTTTACTCCCAAAGCAGTGACAAATACAAATCTAGGGTTTTGGTATAGAGGTAGCCGGGCATATTAAAAGACAGAGTAAGCCTTCCACTATTAACAGCAGATCATAGTAAAATATTACGAGGCCCAGCCCAATTACATCACCATTCAATACTTCAATCTGTCTTGTTATCGTATATTCCTATTTGATTGCTGATGCCCAATTCCCAAATTGGAATATTCGATTTTTAATCATCGATTTGGTCCTCTCTTCCCAACGAGGGCAAACAGGTTTTTAAAAACCGGGTTCTTTATCTGGCTGGTTTTGCTAAATCAGTTTGGACAAAAAGAGACAAAATTAGTGTATTTGGTTTTTAGTCTCCAAATTAGTGTATTTCTATGCTTTCAAAACTTTTAATGTATAATATTATTGTTCATTCCGTCATCTTTTGTCAGTTAAATGAATGATATTTTCGTCATTTATGGATGATTTATGAAGTTTTGCCTTTTATATATATATATATATATATATATATATATATATATATATATATATATATATATATATATATATATCAAGGTTGTAGAAATCGTTCGACGGTCGACTAGCGATAAACGATTAATCAGATTTGACGGGGATTAATCGGTGATTAATCAGGAACCCTAAATTATTAATAAAATTATTTTAAAAAATTAATATTTCCTAAAAAATTAAGTAATTGGAAATTTTAAATGTTAAAATTTTGAAAATTTTAAAATTTTAGTATAATATTTTAAAATTTGAAAGCTTAAAATTGTAAAATTTTAAAATTTTGGTGTAATATTTGAAAATAATTTTTTGTTTTAATTTTTTAAATATTTCCCGCCTAAGACCGCTGAGGACCGCCAACCCGAGTTTGACAGATTTCGATCAATTTCCGCCAAGCACCCTAATCGTAATCGGTTCGAGGCCGTCAAATGATTAATCAGCTGCCAAAGCCAATTTCTGCAACACTGATATATATATATATATATATATATATATATAATATATATATATATATATATATATATATATATATATATATATACTGTAACACCGTAAATTTCAAAACAAATTTTTCATAAAACATAATTCATTTAATATTCATAAAACAACCATATTTAATTATCCAATTCAAGTAAATACAAAATCCCAAGATCACAACTGTATAAACTCCGTGTGTGTACGGATCAAGTCGGCGCCTTCCCGCCGTCGTCACTAGTACCTGAAACAATAACATCAAACATTGTAAGCACAAAGCTTAGTGAGTTTCCTAAAATACCATATATAACACATATTAGCCACTCGAGGCTATAACTCTGTGGGTCCGTGCACCCAAACTCTGTGAACCCTCAGGTTCTAACTCTGTAAACATGCACAGCATAAATCACATAGAAATAATGCAGTACAACATATAACATACATAGCATACAAATACTCTATCACATAACTCTGGTTACCTACTCAAGGTAAAGTATAGTGAGAAGACTCACCTCGCATGTCTCGGTAAGTCGTGAATCCTGAAATCACTAGTGCTCGATCTCCCGAGCTATAGTCCTCCTAAATCACAATACATCTCTAATTAACACTTTCCCAACTAAGGTTGACTACTCTTAACAAGTCAACTTTGGTCAACGGTCAACGGTCAACTTTGACCAGACTCGGCAAGTGCACTATAGCGACTCGGCGAGTCTAAGTGTAGCACCTAGTTTCCGGTATGTGAATTTTATTTGAGTATTGCCCTATTTTAGCCTTGGACTCGGCGAGTCACAAGGTCCGACTCGCCGAGTAGGGACGAGACCCAGGACACGTTTAAGTTGGCGACTCGGCGAGTCACCGCTGTTGGATGAAACCCTAAGTTTCAGGGGTTTGCACCCTATTTAAACCTCATATCTGCCTCTTGCCAGCCCCCATTCACCCCCAGAGCTCCCAACCCTCGTCCTAACTCGTCCTAAGCTTGTTTCTTGTGAATTTGAGGCTCTTGTGTGGATTCTTGAAGGTTTTGAGGCAAGAAGGGGAAAGAGATCAAGAGGAAGGAGAGCCATCCAAGCATCATTGTGTTTTTCAGCGGTTTCATTGAGGTATATCTCGTTTCCCCCTTGTTTCTATGCTTAAGATTTCATTTAAGACACTCTTGAGCCATTCCCCAAGCTTGTTTGTGCTTAATGTTTCGTAATAAGTGGGTTGGCCTTTAGATCTAGGCAAGATTGAGCTCCAAGAGCTCAGATCTGTTAGCTTTATGGACCCATGTGGCTTGTTCATCCTAGATCTACCCTTTTTGAGGCATTTTGGACCCTAAAATCCATATTAGTGAAGATCTACACGTAAAGTTGGAAACTTTACGTATGATTCGTGTCTTAGAAGCCCAGATCTATGAATGGCATGGACTGAAATCAAACAAATCGGTGTATCTAGTGGATGCATGGCGACGACTCGGCGAGTCGTTCATGTGACTCGGCGAGTCGGCTCGCGAGTCACCAAATTGGTCCTTTTTAGACGTATCGAGTTGAGCCGTGAGTCACAGGGGGTGACTCGGTGAGTTGAAAGTTGGACTCACTCATGATAGGACTCGGCGAGTCAATGCCCTGACTCGGCGAGTCCAAGGCAATCTTCATAGATCAAGAATAGACTCGGCGAGTTGTTCATACAACTCGGCGAGTCTTAGCATATGTGTTCTTCGGATGAAGATGAACTCGACGAGTTGTTCATACAACTCGGCGAGTAGGATGAAGGAGTTGAATGACAGTTTAGAAGATGAACTCGTCGAGTCATAGCCCAACTCGACGAGTAGAATCAGGGACCCAAGACAATAGTTTGCTAGGGACTCGGCGAGTGGAGATCCACTCGGCGAGTCGGGTCAACTAAAAGTTGACTTCGATTTGACTTAGGGCTAGACCAGGGGTAAAATGGTCTTTTTACCCAAAGGACAGTTAGCAGGGTATGATTAAGTATATTGTGGGAATTACAGCCGGGGAGTTTCCGGAGCAGCAGCAGCAGTAGTAGGTGATCAATTCCCACACAGACCAGCAGCTATTTCGAGGTGAGTTTCCTTTCAGTAGTAACGGGTCTAAGGCACCAAGGTCGGCCCGTGTAGATGAGACGTTAGTATTGTAGTGTGGGCCGAGCCCGTATCTATTAGTCGAGTTGATTGTGATATATACCAGTATGATAGAACTGTTTACACTTGTTGTCTGCGTGATACTTGTATGATATGTGTTGACGGTTGGGTGTGGGCGAGGCCCGTATCTCTCCGAGAATGGAGTGTGGGCTAGGCCCGTATCTCCCAGGTAGCGAAGTGTGGGCGGGGCCCGTATCTTCACGAGTGTGGGCGGGGCCCGTATCTCTTAGAAAGTGAGGTGTGGGCGGGGCCCGTATCTTCACGGGTGTGGGCGGGGCCCGTATCTCCTAATTGCATGTTATTTGTTATATGTTGTATGGTATGGGGTATTGTGGGGGAGCTCACTAAGCTTTGTGCTTACGGTTTCAGTTTTGGTTTCAGGTACCTCCTCAGCTAGGGGAAAGGAGCCGGCACGGTAGCAGCATGTCACACACACACTCTTCGGTTTCCGCATTTACGAGATTCACTGGGATTGTACTCTGATATTTGATGGGTTGTATGGCTTGATTACTAAAACATGGTTTGCGATGTGTTATGGCGTGATCAAACAATGTTTTTATTTATTAATGTTTTCTAAAAGTAATATTTTAAAATGAAATTTTTGGACATGAAAATTGGGTCGTTACAAGTTGGTATCAGAGCCCTGGTTTGAGGGATTCGGACACGCCTTCGGGAGTGTCTGAACTCAAATCGAGGGATTGAAAGATTTTCCAAAAGAAAATGTTCTCTAAAAACTCGGAAAAGAGTCATAAGAAAGAGCGAAGTGTGTGACGTGCGCGACCGGCCGAGCTCAAGTAAGTATTCCCCATAGTACCCATACAAGTTTATGTTATGTTTATCAGCTTACGTAGAACCGCATGCTAGAATAGGGCTAAGGATCTAGGAGTGATGCCTTATGTGCCTGCTTATGTGTTACAGCTTTATGAGTATTGCATGCTAGAATTGAGTAGACAGCAGTAGGATAGCCTGTTTAGGTTATGCCTGATAGTATGAGCTTAGCATCTTATGCTAGTGCCGTTTCTTGTTATAAGAATAGTTTTGGCTTGAGTCTGTTTCCCCTTAACCGAATGCTGCTTGCTTCATGCTTGGTGGGGTTCTGAGTAATGGGAGTTAGCCACTAGGTGAACACGTCACACCACATGTAATCAGGTTTGAATAATCCCAAAGTACTGGAACTGGCCCTATTGCGCAGCTCTTGTTTGAGTCCAACCGTTGTAGGGACGGATCTTTTACTTGAAGGATTATCTAATCCTCATCACATGTGATGGTGTTTAGGTGGTGGCTAACTGGCATTATGAGGAGTCCTACAGCAGATGAGGACCAGTCGTGTTGAACTTGAGTTTTCCCTAGGGCAAGCCTAGGATGAGAATAGCAGGGAGTAGCAGTAGTAAAGGGGATCTGGTGAAGTCGAGGAATTTCTCGGAGAAGGTACGGATAGATGTGAAAGGTAGTATGGGCCCGTACTACTGAAAGCAGAGGATCCGTACCCTAGCCGAGGAAGGCCAAGACGAGACCAAGGAACCTGTAAGTAGTTGAGATCCCTCAGAAAGTAGCAGTATCACTAATGATTATTATGATGTTTTGCAGAATGGTGGTACTTCGACCGAGACCGACAGATGGCGGGTGATATGTGTATTTTTAGATATATTTTTATGCACTTTATCTTAATATTTTGGTCTTATTTATTCTATTTTAGAACTAAAGAGTACTCATAATGCTTTGAATTATGTTTTGCAGCTATTTGTTGTCAATAAAGCACAAGAGAAAAGACTGAAGCGGAAACTGGGCTTAGAAGCTAAAAGAAAGAAAAGGGGGCTGAGGTCGCGGTTACGCCCCGCGTACCTTAAGAGTACGCCCCGCGTACCTGCTTGCACCGGATATGCATGATCGCGTGATTATCCATAGTACGCGCCGCGTAATCCATAGTACGCCCAGCGTACTTAGGTCGGCCACAAGGATTATAAATGTCGATTTTTAGCCAACCAGGAGGGGGGGATTCGACTTCTAACCTAATTTAGTCGACAATTAACTTCTGTTAAGCCGTTTTGAGGGTCTAGAAGGCGGCCGGAAGGCCGTTAAGCTAACGGGAGCAGAGATCTGAAGGATTGGAGAGCGGATACATGTCGGTAATCATATGGATTGCTAACGTGACCATGTTTAGCACTTCCTTATGGTACTTTTTGTATTTAGTTTCTGATTTGGGTGTAAAAACCTTTTACTTTGTGTTTATGATTGAATGAAGTTTTGATTCTTAGACTAATTGTTATGTTAAAGAATTTATTTGTGTTTAATTTATCTTGCCAAGCTTGTTCAAAGATCCTCATGTGTTAATGATGATTATTTGCTGTTAATTGTTAAGTGAATTAAGTTGTATGAAAACCTGCTTGATTTGCTTGTCTCTTATGATTTTTGATGACCATTGAGATTATAAGACTAGAAATAACGAATGTGAAACTAGGATTAACATGGGAATAAGTAAGTTAATGTGTGAGCCTTGTTTGATGACCATCAACAAGAGGTTAATTAAATGTTTAAATTAACTAAATTTACAAGTCTTGCTTGATACGAACTGAACACTAGGAAGCATGTTAGTTTAATCAATTGATCACTGTTTGAATTAACTTGTTTGCTAAAGGATTAGTTATAGTGAACATGAATCTAATCAATTTAGGAATCGGTGAACATGAATAAATGAATTTGTGTATGCAATTGTTTATGTTTTCAAGGTGGAATTTGTCTAAACCAAAGTACCTAAAGAGATTTGTTTTTCCTGTTAGTTTATCGAGAATGGTTAATTAATTATTAGTTTGAGATTTATTAAATTATTCTTTTTGTGTGACATGTAACCTATAATTAAATATATTAAATTAATCCACCGTTCCCTGTGATCGACACCCGACTTACCTAAGCTATACTGTAATCTGACTAGGTACACTGCCTATAAGTGCATAGTTAGTCTAAGTTTGTTAGGTTATAAATATTAAAATTAATGGGTACTTTCGTGCACATCAAGTTTTTGGCGCCGTTGCCGGGGAACGGCTTGTCATTAATTTATTTTATTTGATTATTCGTTATTTGTTTTTAGTTAGTTCTCAATTTTTTTTTTTTAGTTTGATTTTCGATGATATCTTTTCACTTGTCGGGAAGGTTCTTGTTTTTATTTTGCAGGAATTTGGGATTGTACACATTGCTTGACTTTACTTTTTGCATGGGTTTCGAGAATGAAAGCGATTAGGGAATTCTTGACCTGCTTAGCCTACTACTTTGTTGATTTGTCCAACTCAATCCATGAGGCGTAGTATAGCAAGGCGTATTGTGGTGGTTAAGTGGAAGACCGAGCTCTTGATGTTCTTGACTAGTTAGGTCACTTCTTGTTCCGCTTCTAGTTAATGGTGCAAGGAAAACAAAGGAAATATTCTAACGGGTCCCGAAAGTGGGTGTTTTCGCAAACCAATTCTTGCATGCAAAGGTTTTTGATCAACCATTGTTGTTTGATCTTGACAAAGATAAGTGATTATGACATCTCAATTTTTTTTATCACTCATCGTGAAGTCATCATTAGCTTAAGAAATTAAAAAGGAAAAATTAAATAAGTTTTAAGTTCCTAGATGAAATGATTCAATTAAAAGAAGAAAGGGAAATTTTCATTTAAAATTACGCCCCGCGTAAGTTTACTTACGCCATGCGTAATATGCCCCGGATCGCGAATGAACATTTCAGGGGGTTGGGGTACGCCCCGCGTACTCTTGAGTTACGCCCCGCGTAACACGGTGACCAGGTATATCTTTTGACCCTTTGACTTCTTCTTTATTCTTTTCCCTCTTCTACTCTCGCGCAAACTGTGACGGCAGCCCTCTCCAAGATTCCTGCTTCTCTCTCGTTTCTTGTTAAATCCACCACACAAGTAAGTATTTCGGATACTCAATAGCTTGGATTTGTGTTTAATTCAAAGGAATAAGCTGCATTTAGCTTTTGCTTGAAATCTAGGGTTTATATATTTTTCGAATTAGGGTCGATTTCGCAAATGTATGTGTTGATTAGGGCTTGAATGGACCGATTTCGGTTAATACATTAAACCCTCGAACCTAATTTCGTCTTAATTCCGCCCCACGTTCATCGATTTACGCTTGGGGTCGCACGCCAAGCGTACGCCCAAAAAGAAAAAAAAAATTTTGATTGAATGCCCTGTGAAGTTTTTATGTTAATTGTTTGCCAATCTTGAATAAATCAGGAACTAATAAGGGATTGAGTTATCTTTTTGGTCATAAGTTTAAAGGGTGACTTCGATTTTTTTTCGTTTGTTTTCTACTGCCTTGAACCTCAAGGTTTATTTGGATATGGATAATGACCTTAGCACAAGAAAGGGACTGGGACCAGGACACAGAATCACAAGCGTGGACGTACGCCCAGCGTACTGCACCTATCCAGCCCCATTTTTTTTTTTGGTTTAAAAATCTATTAATGCTGCCATATTTTGTTGGTTTTGTGTTTTTGTGTTAATATATGCAGATTATGGCTCGAAGGGCACAAAGAACCAACCCTCCCGAGGATGTGACCGATCATCGCTTTTTACAATTTCCGCAAACACTGAGCGATGCTACTAGGGCGCATTATAGCACCAACTTGAGCCTGCTTCTCACAAAGGAGATTGATATTGCACCCTCTTTCGACTGGGAGTTGGCTACCAGGACTGGACTTGCTGCATTGATCCAGGAATTTTTGCAATACACACACTCGGACGCGAGTGGAGTGGAATTGTTTGTGTGTCAGGGATGGGTGCGTTTGTTCAGGATCCAGGAGCCGGTATATCGAGAGTTTTTGCTGGAGTTCTATGCTACAGTTTCCTATGATCCTAGGAAGTCACTCAATGACAGGACAGCCTTTGCTTTCAGACTGGGAGGAGTGAGCCGGGAATCCAGCGTGATAGAGCTTGCTACTCGGGTGGGTATTTACACAGCCGATGAGACAAGGAGTGTCCACTTCCCGACATTTCTTGCTGACTGTCTCACGGAGCGGCCGGAGGACTACAATGAGAACACTTTTTGGGCCGATATTACGGGAGGAATTTATACACCATCTACCGCTCGAGGGGGGATGATTCGGTCTACTACATACCGAATGTTGCACCGGTTGATTTCTATGTCTCTCACGCATCACAAGAATAGTGAGAGAGTGCCTTCGACGGACCTGTATTTCCTATGGGCACTAGTTACTCCAGGGAGGCACCTGAACCTTCCAGTTGCTTTAGCTGCATACTTGGGACGGAGGGCCAGGGGACTTCGGGGAGATAGCCCGATATGCGGAGGGCATTTTATCACACGATTAGCTAGATCATATCAGTTGATGACACGTGAGATCACGAGATCAATGGTGTTTCACGACATGAGGCCGATGAGTCTTCAGCTATTGGAGTCGATGCGCGTATTAGAGCGGGGCGGAGATGGTGTTTTGAGGGTTCGAGCAGATGATGTGGCGGATGAGGAGGGTGCCGCCGAGCCACAGCCGAGACGGGTCCCGCGGCGTTGACCTGCTCCTCGGGGAGCGCAGCAGGGACCTGAGCCGGAGATTGATATGCGTTATTTGGCTCAGGGCATTGATCGTCTTGACTTGAGGGTCCAGAACCTTAGCGTGTATGTTGCACATGTGGACGCGCAACAGCGGTGGCAAGGGAATGCGTTGAATGCATTCTTTGCCCATCAGGGATTTCAGTATTCGGTTTCCTTTCCACCACCATTCCAGTCACGATTTGATGGGGCCGGTACTTCTGGGACACCGATGCCAACTCCAAATCATGAGTCGGGTAGTTCTTTTCATGCTCTTTCAGCTGTCGAGATGCATATGCGATCACCTTATCTCTTTGGGTCAAAACACAACCCAATCCAACACCAGACGCGTCGCTATAAACAGCAAAGTCTTCAACTCCATCGGGTAGAGAAAGTATCGGTGCCTCGCATAGTTTCTTCTTTAGCTTCTCGAATGCTTCTTTATGCTTATCACTCCAAGCATAAGTAGCTCCTTTGTGGGTCAAAGCTGTTAATGGACTAGCGATCGAAGAAAAGCCTTGGATAAACCTTCGGTAATATCCGGCTAATCCTAAAAAGCTTCGAATCTCCGTGGGACTTTTTGGTTGTTCCCACTTCATTACAGCTTCAATCTTTGCTGGATCAACCATTATACCTTCTTGGTTGACCACGTGACCCAAGAATTGGACTTCTCGAATCCAAAAATCACATTTGGAGAACTTCCCATACAACTTCTCCTTCTTCAAGACTTCCAAAACTTCTCGTAAGTGTCTGCCATGCTCCTCTTGGCTTTTTGAATAAATCAGAATGTCATCAATGAACACTATCACAGATTTATCAAGGAACGGATTACAAACCCTGTTCATTAAATCCATGAATGCTGCTGGAGCATTGGTTAGTCCAAACGACATAACCAAAAACTCATAGTGTCCATATCGGGTTCTGAATACGGTCTTCTCTATATCCTGCTCTCTTACTTTTAGCTGATGATATCCTGACCTCAAGTCGATCTTTGAGAAATAACTTGAACCTTGTAGCTGATCGAATAGGTCATCAATCCTCGGCAACGGATATCTATTCTTTATTGTTGCCTTATTCAGCTCTCGGTAATCAATGCACATCCTCATGCTTCCATCTTTCTTCTTTACGAATAACACCGGAGCTGCCCAGGGCGATGAACTAGGTCTAATGAAACCTTTGTCCAATAACTCCTGAAGTTGCATCATTAGCTCCTTCATCTCCGTCGGTGCTAATCGATAAGGTGCTTTTGCAATTGGTGTTGTTCCGGGCAACAAGTCAATACGAAATTCTACTTGTCGATCGGGCGGTAATCCAGGAAGATCTTCGAGAAATACTTCTGGATAATCACACACAACGGGAATATTTTGCATCACCTTCTTTTCCTTCTTAGCATCGATCACGAATGCTAAGTATGATGTACATCCCTTGGTCAAACATTTTCTGGCTTTCATTAGGGAAATGATTCCAGAATTTACTCTGCGTTTATCTCCATACACCATAAACGATTCCTTTCCAGGCGGATTCACTTTCACTATTTTCTTCTTGCATAAAATTTTGGCATCATTGGCACTAAGCCAATCCATTCCCAAAACGATGTCGAAACCATTAAGTTCTATAGGTAATAATTCCTCGTGGAACTTATTCCCTTTCAAATCAATTAAAATGTTTTTCATACGATGGATAACAGGTACAATCTTGCCACTAGCAACTTCGACTAATAAAGCATTATCTAGTCTCACAATAGGCAAAGCTAGTTTTCTACCAAATTCATGCGATATAAAGGAGTAGTTGGCTCCAGAATCAAATAAAATTTGGGCAGGCAATTTGTTAACGAGAAAGGTACCTGAAGCGACATCAGCTTCATCTTTAGTAGCTTCCAGTGTCATCTGGAATGCTCTCGCCTTTGGCTTTGGCGGAATGTTGGGTCTTGCTGCCTCCTTCTTCTTCATACAATCTCTTGAGATGTGCCCCTCCTCACCGCAACCATAACAAACATTCTTGGTGAAAGTGCATTCGTTGGCATAATGCCCTGGCTTTCCACATTTGTAGCATGTGGTTTCCCCGCCACACTTCCCATGATGCTTCTTCTTGCACTTGTCGCACCATTTTGCCTCTACCTTTCCTCCACTTCCTCTCGAACTAGACTTCGAGAATTTACTTTTCTTGCTGGACCCTGAAAATCCATCGATTTTCCTTTTCTCACCAACCTCTGACCTTTCCAGACCTTTTTCCCTGATCTGGGTCTCAACATTTCCAGTAGCCCAGATGGCGGCTGGGTTGCTTGCTTAACCATTGGACCATAGTCCGCTGGTAGTCTAAGGGCAAACTTGTTGACCTTAAAGAGTTCTGTAGGCACCAAATATGGGATAAACTTCATCTTTTCCGTGAAACTTGTAGCGTATTCAGTAACGCTCAATTTCCCTTTCTTCAAATTCTGAAACTCATTACTGATTTCCAGAAGGTCCTGCTCGGAGCAGTATTGCAGTTTTAGTTGTTCCAGAAAGTCTTCCAAGACATTTTGCTTGCTTCTCCCTTGGGCATAGAGTCAGCTAACAGCTTCCACCAACTCAACACGCCAGATTTTAGCAGAGGGATCGCAAGAGCGGTCTTCTGCCTGTTGCTGCATTCGCAACTTTCAAACATAGTCTCCATTTCGGAGACCAGTCCATAACTTGTACCGGCGTCGGGCTTCCGGATAGGCATGGTGGTTTGGATGCCATGAAATCCTTATACTTGCACCCACGACCATCATTTCCTCCATACTGGTTATTGCGTCTAACCACTGGTTGTTCGTCTTGACCAATGATCCACTAAAGTTTTCTCCTTCAGACTGCCCTCCATTCTCCTCGGGCTCTTCCGCTTGAATTGACGGTTCTTCACGATTCTGCCTAAGCAGGCGTCTTGTTTCTTCCATCTGACGATCCAACATCATTTGAATCATCATTTGTACACCAGCCATTGTTATCGGCTCAGGTGCAGCAGCTACGACAGGTACTTGCTCGATTACAGGCGGTTGATTCCTGTTTTCATTAGCATTTCCAACTCCGCTTCTTGTTCTCACCATTTTGATCTATACACCGAATAATTTCACCTTATTACTCCAAACGATTACATGCTAGTTCTAATATCGTATACATACGCTTAGAATCCTAAACACATAAACCTTCAGATCCGGTTGGCAACAAACCGTAGATCCGAACAAATAATATCATATATGGCAACATATAACATTTAGCACATAAAAGCATTTTAGGCAACTTTCCTAAAATAAACTAGTGCTTGTGTCTAAGATCCAACAGACACACACCTCGCAATCTCCACTTAGAATGCTAAGTTTAAGTTTAGAAATCCTACAAATTCCTAGTTCGCTTAAACTAATGCTCTGATACCAACTGTGACATCCCCAAAATCTCGGCCAGAAAAGACCGATTTCATTTATGCTTTTTAAAATAATTTTCAGAGTAAATCCTTTTAATTTTAAAAGAGATGCGGAATTTGTTCCCAAAAACAAAACATGATAAAATAGATATTTATCAAAACATTTCATAAAGAAATATGATTTCATTTCATAATCAAAAGTCGGGATGTCATGTTCCGATACAGATCATAAAGCATAAACGATAGCATTACAAGTCATTCAACAAATATATACATATACAGACTTGTAAACAAAACAACTTGATGTTCGCCCATCTTAAGCTCTTGCGCCACTTCCTGTAAAATAAATCAACTGAGTGGGTCAGGCTTGGGAGCCTGGTGAGCATATAGGGTTTTCAACCCACAATAATTATATTTAATTTCAACAATCAACAATAAACCCGATTACCCATTCCCGTTATCCTCACCTTACGTTCCTAAAAATAACGTCTATTATAAGGAACCTATTTCAGGATTTTTCATCGGGACGGACATTACTGCAGAGGGGCTTCCTCAACAATAAGTGTCCTAAAGGCAACCATGTGGGGGATAGAGTACACCGGTGAACACGTCGTTCACAACACCTACAGGTAATGAGCCTGCTAGTGTTCCACAGGACAGTCTAGAATAGTCCGTGGTCGTCATCCATACTCTGCTGAATGACTAGAATAACACCAATAACACCGAGGCCTCTCATCTGTTTATTACACACCAATTATCTACCCATGTTCTACCCAACATATTAGTAGATAAAAATATACATTTTATACATAGTTTAAAAACCTGTATAACATGTTTTAATCAATACATATTCCACATAACAGATGAGGCATACACACATAACACGTATTTCATAGAGAATACATCAGATCTATAAGATAGAAGAGAGTGAATATACACTCACACGTATAACAACCAAATATATACACATAACACGTATTTTATAGAAATACTTCATAATATTGCGTTGGAATGAAAATAACTACACACTCACTTGATCAAAGATGATCGGGCAGCACTACGGCTTGCAGAAGAGGTGTTTCTCCGTAGATCTGGAAGATCTTCACAAAACCGGGCTCCTCGCGGGCAGCGTTTCGGCTCGGGAATAACGCTCTTCGGGATCCTCGGGCTTCGGATCTTACTTCGGGGCTCGGGAATATTACCGGGGCTTTGGGGTATAAACGGCACGCAAAACGAGGCAAAACTTAGAGAGAGGGAAGAGTTTGAACAAGAGAAAATGGCTGAATTCGAGTTCTATTTATAGGCTGCTGGGTCTGGGATTACGCGGGGCGTACTCAAATTACGCGGGGCGTACTTTGACGTCACTGCGTGCGTCGACTGGTGGCACTCGAGTATTGGTCAGACAAGTTGCATCCGACTGAGTACGCGGGGCGTACTCAAATTACGCGGGGCGTAATTGACTTGTCAAACTTCTAAATTGCGTAACTTTCGCATACGAGCTCCGTTTTCGACGTTCTTTATATCCACGCGAAGGTCAGACCATACTCTACAACTTTCATTTAGACTCCGTCGGCTAATTTTGACTTTTATTTTTATTATTTATTT